AGATTATGTTTTGGGGATATTTGGTTTCAGAATATGAAAACTGCTAAATTATTTTTAATACAAGAGATGCAGCGGTCAGTGAATGGAATTGGCAGTGAGGTGTCATTACCCCGGAAGTACTTTACTGCGAGCCAAGTAAATTCCAAGATCACAATTTGTAAAATGAAACGGAGGAATATCGATGATAAAAAATGCCACATATGTGTGGAGACCATGAGTGATCGACAGTTAGTTCCCTACTAACCCTAAGACCTAATCTCTAAACGTGAAGGTTCATTCCAATACACACACCTTATGCTGCATTATCATTTATATTGAACAAATTCAACACACACTGCATTTATATCAGCAGTGTGAATGAAGAAAAAAATCATACTTTTAGGTATCAATGATTAAAATCTGCCTAACAAGCCATTATATCAACACATATGGATCAGACTGAAGAGATACAACATCTCTGTTGACGTCTGTCGAGTCTCTGACGTCAGACCTTCCAAACACGTCTCTGCAGGCAGCCTGACATGTTGTATACTTCCTGTCATTCAACGGTCGGCCTGTCAGCCATTCAAACATCCTGCTTTTTCCTCTCTGTCAGTCACACACAGCAGCTAGCACCAACCTGCGCAGCCTTAAGATTTTAGTAAGAAGCTGTTTTGGTTTGTTGTTTACATGAGGATTAGTAACATTAGGAGTGAAAATGAACCTGAAGTAATAACGAAAATAACTCACAACACAATAATAATCAGCAGACTTACAGTTAAAAGATTAATATCAGCACCAAGGTCTACATTTTATTTAAATAGAAGAGTTCGACTTTGTTGGCTGAAGAATACTTTACAGGGGATTAACAAAAAATAACAGAGTAGGACGGCGTTTCTTTATTATTATTTTTTTGTTTGTTTTTATAAGGGGTTGAAAGATTTGCTGTTGCCACAGGCTGATGGACTGTCAGAGAAGAGTTGGTGGGTCATGGCTCACCCAACGCTGATCGATACCAGGGTGATTTTGCCAGATGATTCTCCCTGAAGTGGAGCAATAACATAGTCTAGGTGTTTGAGCTGCGTCCAAAGCCAGGGGACCAATTTTGATGGAGGTGACCGCAGTTTTGGTCCACAAAAAAAAAGTTAGAAAGCAAATGTAATTTAAAGTTCAGTATGCAGTCGCCTACATCGTATAGAAATAATAATTTAAAAAAAGGGTTCAAATGGGATTTCCACAAACTTAGCTTACAATGACAAAGCTTAGTAATGTAAACGCTAAGAATAACCCTTTAACGGTCAACTGCTCCAAATGTTTGACTTCCATGAACCCTTTGCTTGGTAGGATTCTAACTCTGCTGTAGGCAGCATTTCATGGCTATCCTCTTATTGCCTCTTTCCTCTCTCTCTCCCCCTCTCTCTCTCAACCTCTCTCATCCTCTGCCTGGGTGAAAAATGGAGCACATTTTCTCTGATAGCCGACGTGGATGTGGAGAGTATAAATGGCTAATGAATTACAGATGAACGCTGACGCAAATTAATCTTCTTGATGTCCCAGGGTTATATGGCAGCTCTTTAAAAGTTTAATCAATACGCTGAAGTTGAGAACATGCAGGCGCTGCAGTTGTTTGGCTGTGGTAAACAGTCCAGGAGGGGGACACAAAGGAGGGGGGGCGGACCGGGCCCAGGCCCAGGGCAATGCTTCATAATGACAGGTATTTATGTTAGATGCACAAATTTTTTTTTAATCTGCACACTGTAAATGTCATCTAAACCTCAGAAGCTACAAACAAAGGTTTGTTTAAGATAGAAGGACAAATGACACTAAATAAAAGTCAACAATATGTCACCTTTGTATCAGCCATCATCTCTCACCAGTCGGTGGTTCACGAGGACACTGAACGTTAACAATCATCGCAACTGATTAGTTGATGATGTAGCCTGATCTTTACAGCGTTTACAAAGTTACACAGAAAATGTCATTCACTCAGGACACAAGGTTTAGTCCTAATTACAGCAGTGTAGAATTTTAGCAACATTTTAACAACAAATGTAGACAAGTTATTGCTAAAAACATCAAAACTACAAGTTTAGCCAAACAGACTGCTTAACTAGAGTAAGTATAATTTTGTGGACTACATTTTAAATGGATTAAAATGCACAATGTGTTCAGATTTGAGTCATTAATTTAACATAAGCCTGGAACATAAGGAACATGAGCCGTCAAATATAGACGTAACAATATCTGATATACCACATGACCCAGCCACATCACAGCACATGACGACTTGTTTATGACAACAACCACTAAGATCAATGTCTAAAATACACTTTATTAAAAGGTTAAATGTGTTTATTATGAACTCTGGGTTTAATTTTAGTCAAAAACAAAAACATCTGAAAATGAAGAGAAATGATCATGTTTAAGAAGTGAAGTGACAGAAAGGACCAGAACAAAAGCTACAGTAGATACAACAGCTGTCTTTGTTTAGCCTGAAGCAAACGCCGTGGTCGTATTTCTGTTGTTTTGCTCAGGTTCATTCACACAGTGGGGGGCTGTTCTGATTGATTTAGTTGATCCCAGAAAAGGGGAGAACATTTCTGTTGGTTTTGGTTTTTTTTACAAACACAACATTTGTAAAGCATTTGATTTTGAAGTGGAGGGAACAAAGGAATCATCACACAGACTTCCTTTTATATTTTTTGGACAGTCTGTGGAAATACATCTGGAAAGAACGTGTCTGAAGGAATAATGTCCTCCTGTCCCTACTGGAATATCTGAGCCAGATTCATGAGCCACTCTCACCTGAAACGCAGTGTCAGTCCAGCTACAGATGGTGTAGGTGCTCGCCTGTTTTCATTTGTCTAAACGGCCAGAGCTGAAGCCAGCGTAGAGAAGTGACTAACACCAGGAGGTTCACTGCAAGAACAGACAACTTTACTGTTACCAGCTTCAGCCTCTGTGTGTTTTAACCCATGATCCTTGAGGGTCATGACATGAAAAGAGGGGAAACAGTGTCAACATGTCACCTCTTGGTGAAGCACAACTAAACTGTGTTCTTGGTCTTGATTTAATCTCACTCCCTTTAACATTGTCTGGTTTTGGTCTTGTTGCTGAAACATTGTGTTCCTTACAACCAGGTCTCAGGCCTGTGTTCAGCCGTTCTCTCTCCTTTTCTGCCTGTTAGCCTTGATTACCACAGTAGAACGACTGTTTTTAGAACTAACTTACTCAGTGTAAGCCCACTGCCACGGTCGTCTGCAGAGACCCTGTTGAGATCAGACATCCTTTGGCTAATAAGCTCCCAGACAGTCTGATGATGAACCTGCAGCTGCTGCATTTGCCAAGAGGAAAAAACTGAATCCAGTCTTTTAATAAGGAAAAAGGAGGTGGGGAGGGTTAGTTGTTGTCCCTAAAAAAACAACAAAGGTGCAGCTCGACATGTGTAGAACAAAGGCTTTATTGTTCCGACACCAGGACATGATGGAAGCATTAGCCTCCACGTAGCTTCGTTAATCTGTCACTTTAATGGCTGCTCCCATTGTTCTGGCTGCTCTGTTTGGAGGCGACAGATCAAAGTGTTCACCGTTTGTTGTGATAGTGTTTATGACTAAGAGTGTGGGTTTTGATTCAATGGTCTTTATCCCTGGCTCAGCGTACACTTGTGTTTGTTTATAGACTACTGACTACAGCACTGCACCACTTGTTAAGATGTAACAGTTCATCAGGCGGAACCCCACGGGCCTGAGCATCACCCCC